GGACGGCAGGAGAGGCATAACCCCCCCCAAGCCATGTGGACGCGGTGGCCCTGAGCTCCCAATCCCACTTGACCACCACTAAAGAGTCATAAATCCCAGGGAGATGCAGACGGATACACAAAAGGAGCCGCTCCTGATGTTCTAAGCAGCATAAATCAACCTCCTGCCCTCTGCTTCCAACCCTTCTCCTCCTCCAGCCACGGAGCCAGAGCCACGAGCTGGGTTAGGGCAGCCGGGGCTTCATCTCCCCCATCCACCCAACCTACCCGAGAGGCAGCCCTGAGCCCCAAACGGGTCCTGCGAAGCCACAGGAGCACCCATGGGTGCCTGGAGGAGGTGGGGGGTGGGCAGGAGACGCGCTGCCTGGGAAGGGGAAGCTAACCGAGAGGAGGGGGAGGCACTCACATGGGGTTGGAGTTGACGGGGTGGAGGATCACTTGCGGGGCTCGGGTCGGTGTCTCTGGCACCACGTCTGGAGAGAAGAGAGGGGAGTGAGAGCAGGTTGGGAGGCACCAGGAACCCCTTCCAGTGCCAAGAGGCACCCAGGGGGACGAAATCCCACCGAAAACCTCCCTTTGTCCCCACGTTCCATTTAGCTATGCCCTTGGCTATAGCTGGGTAGAACTTCGGGCCACCCAGCCCTGCAGCATCTGGTTTGGGGGAGAAGTTCCACCTCAGCATACCCCACCCTGCACAAACCCAAGGGTTAGAGGAGAAGACTTCTGAAGAGACTCACCTGGGAAAATGAACTGCTGCTTGTATTTGTAGTAATGGGAAGCTGGAAAAGAGAAAAGGTGGGGTTAAACCTGTGCAGCCCAGTCCCACTCCATGAAACACCAGCCCTGGGTGCCCCCCTGCATGACCCAACCTCTCCCACCTCCACTGCTCCGGAGGATGTCACCCACGACGGCACGTAGGGTGCCCAGGTGAAGAAATTAAGACCTTGGCCCTCTAAGGATCTGGCTGGATTATGACTTCTTTTCTCCACCATCAGCTACTGCTCTGCACCATTTGGAGAGTGTTGATGGCATTTGCAAAGTCATCGGTGGGATTCGGACACCTGGTTGCCAGCACAAGCCCGCAGGGTTTGACTGCTCAGCTCCCAACCGGCATTTGGGAACCACTCGACATCATGGAGACACCGAGCGATGGATTTGCAGCTGCTGCCTGGTTTTGCCCAATCCAGCCCGTCTAACCATGCATTTCTGCTGTGCTCTGCAGACGTGTCCTTTCTGGCTGTCAGCAGCCCAGGAGCCGCTGCCCAAAGCCGGCGCTGCAGAAGGGCTCTGGGTGGTGGTACCCTCCATCGGCTCCCCGTTGCCAGCGGGCAAAGCCCAAGGGCTGATTTGACTCACACAGGCAGGCATGTCATGGGTATGAAGTAAGAATGAGCTGCTGAGGCCACCAGAGGTTGGCACCAGCTCAGAATGCACCTCCTCCTTCAGCTTCAAGACCTCAAAGACTGTCCTTCTCCTCTCCAGCTTCGAGACCCTGAAGATTGACCTCAGCTCTGCAGTGAGACCTGAACACCCCTGAGTGGAGATCAAAGGAGACTCGAAGGTAATTCCGGCAGAAGAAGGTCACTGTGTTGCCATTTCCAAGCTCAAATCCTAATCCCCAAGATGACCATCTTGACGAGATGAACCACGGAGAACTTCCCACCCGAGAAGATGAAAGCACCTTAAGTCTTGCTTTGTATCAGACTGGCTCCTGTTCGCCCCAGGGCTCTGCTCACCACGGGCACAAAAGCAGGGAGCAACCACCCCCCCGAGCTGCCAGGGTCCGATCCTGCCTCGCTCCATCCCCGCCACCCGCTCGGCTGCGGCGGCACCGACGGCATGTCCAGGTCCCTGTGATGAGATGCTGCTGCCCACGATGGGGTTACTGCTGTGGTTCTTGCTTTAGCCAACGTGAAATAACATCTCAAAAGACCTGCAGGGAGGTCTCTGCTCCAGAAGTGATGCATGACTGGGTCACCAAGCCCTGGACCTCCTGCCCCTTCCCCCCAGACCCAGGCAGGGTCCAGGGCTTACCCAGGAAGCGGTTTGGGGATGTTAATGGCTGCCAGCTGGGCTATCACACTGCCAAGACGTCAGGATGCTTCGGCTCTGGCTGGACCACCACGAGCTCGGTGACACGGGCACAGGAACCCACGTCATGCTCACAGGGCTGCAGCCACACGATGGATCATCCTCCCAGTGCCTGGAGGCTCAGGGGCGGTGGCTGGTGAAATTCCCATCCTCCCAGTGCCTGGAGGCTCGGGGGCGGTGGCTGGTGAAATCCCGACCCGGGGAGCAGGAGAAGGAGCTGAACCTCTCCTGAGGGACAGGTCACGCCACTCCTTGGGGTGCTCAGTGCCTCCTCACAGCTCCTCCGCTGTCTTCCTCATGCCCCTCCAGCATCCTGCCAGAGTTCTGGGCACTCCAGCGAGCAAGACTTGTGCGCGGCTGCAGCCTCTCCGGGCACATGAGGACCTGTGTTTGATTTGGTGGGTTTGGGCTTTTTTCCAGCTTTTGGAACTATTTGTTACCGTGGTGATGGATCCTGCCACTGAAATCTCCTCTCGCCTCCCTCTTCCTCCTTCTCTTTAGCTGAAGGCATGTCAAGACGGAAGGGAGGAATCACCACGGCATGATGAGCGTGATGGTGCCATTTGTTTGCTCCAGAGAAGCAGTCCTCGCCCTCCTTCCTACCTGACCAGCTTGTTAGTCCTGGGGGGTTTGGGATGCAGGAGGGACCTCAACCTCCTGGCTGCTGCTCCATCAAAGAACCTTGAGGCCACAAACCAAACAGGGGTCACCGGCCCCGGGGCAGCTGTGAGCGCTTCAGCATATCAGAGAGGGTTCAGGGCCATGGTTCCTCCTCCTTTCCCCTTGCCAGGCCCTTTTTGGGAGTGGCTGGGGGGGGCGGGGGGGGGGGGTGGTCCACTCTGCCAGGAGTGATGCTGAGCCATTCCCCTCCAGGAAAGGACCTTCCCTGGGGCAGCAGCACTGCCCCAAGGACATCCCAAAGGTAGCCGTGCTGGGACAGGCTTCGGCATGTCCTCAGGCCAGGAGGAGCTTTTCTGGTCATTTGACATAGCTCCTGTGTCCTGAAGCCACTGTGATCCCCTTCCACCATCCCTGAAGAGACTGAGGTCCAGAAGCAGATGGATCCAGACAAGACTTGGTGGGACAAGCTACATCAGACACCCCCAGCATCAGCTACTCCCCACTATCACCCCACGCATGCTGCCAACAAGCTTGTTGGAGGCCCGTCACCCCAAAGACCCGGTGAAGTCAACCCAAGTCACCCTTGTAGAGGGGTAAGACTCTCATTTGCTGTCAAGGCAACGCAGTGGGCACACACCATGGAGAAGTCGTGCCCGGAAAGGTTTTGGTAGCCTCAAGCACAGCAGGTTGCCCACAGAAGCTGCACTGGCTCCATCCTTGGAGGTTTTCAAGACTAAACTGGATAAAGCCTGGAGCTCTGACCCTACTTCAAGCAGGAGGTTTGACTAGAGACTCCCAAGCTCCCTCACAACCTGAATTATCCTAAACTCATCTTTGCTGCTTGTTTCTGCTTCCAACTTTTCCTCATCCCAGCGGAAGTCCAGGCAGCTCCTTCCGCTGCGGACATGCCGGGGCACGAGCCCATCTCATCAGGCAGATGCGGAGGTGGGGAGCTCATGGTACCTGGCAAGTTGAACTGCTTCTGCTGGCGCGGGCACTGCGGGGAGGGGTGCAGGGGGGACGGGGGCGTCGCACTGGGCGGCAGCGGTGGGGCCGGCGAGGAGGGCGTGGAGGAGGTGGTGGAGGAAGGGTTGCTGCTGGAGTCTGGCTGGTAGGGCACCGGGATGTGGTCCTGTGGGACATGGGGAAGGAGAGAAGAAGAGAGGAGCCGGTGAGAGCAGTGCCAGACGGTGCCACCCCAAGGTGCTCCAGTGCAGAGGACCCTGCTTGAAAGGCAAGAACTACACTGGTCATCCTAGTCCCCCTGTTTCCAGAAGCCCTAGAAAACAACCAAAACCCCAACCTGGCCTTGTCCAAAACCATTTGTCTTCACAGCTTGCACCAAGGCCATTTCACACCAGAAATGGGGCTGAAGGATCAGCCAACACCTCCCAAGACATCCCTCACCCTTCATTGACCCTTCCTAATCAAGGCAAGGATGACAGCATCGAGTGCACCTCTCGGAGAACACCGCGATCGGTGAGGAGAGGCCACTTGGGAGCAGATGGGGAGAACCTGCCTGGATATCTTTGATCTGAAAAGGCAAATAGAGGCCAGAATTTCCCACCTTGCTCATGACCTTGCTGCCCAACGTGGAGACACTTACCATGGTCTGACCTTTAGCACCACTGAGCACTCCCGTCTCCAGACAGGTGCACCCATGGCAAGACCCCCTCCAAGGTC